CAGCTATAAACTGAAACCTCTACAAATTGTGAGCGAAAATAAACCTTTCCTCCTTTAATCTAAGTGTCTGGTATTTTGTCTCAGCAATGAGAAAAGTAACTAAGAGGGTCCGCTAAAGACAAGATGGAAAAACCTAGAAGGTATGTTCTTATCTAAGTGATGAAGGTCAACCTCACTGTGGAAGGAGATGGTCATCTTATGCCACCTGATAAAGACATAGTGAGGAACAGAGCTCCATTTCTGTGATATTCCTGCCAAACATTATTGGCCAGATTCTAAGATGAGGAACATCAGGCAAATTCAAATTGAAGCACATTCTAGAAAAACAATTAGCTTCTAATCCTAAAACACTTAAGTCATGAAAGTCACAGGAATGAAGGAACTGTTCCAATTAAAGGAGACTGAAGAGACATGACAATGAATGCAAGCATCATTCTGGATTAGGTCTGTCTCTATTAAAGATGTCACTGAGATTGTTAGTGAAACCTCAATAGGGTTTTTGGGTGAAGTTTTGGAATATGGGAGTTTTCTTCTTTCAGTCAGAAAAGAGAGATTGCAACTTTTCTGTAAATTTTGCTAACTCTCCTGTACGTCTGAAATTATTTCACAACAAAAGGTAAAAAGTATAAATTTTAAAAACAAAATCTAAAATTTAATTTTAAAACAGGCATGGTGGCACACAAAGGGGGTGTTGTGGTGCATACCTGTAATCCCAGCACTCAAGAGGCTGAGGTAGGAGGACTGCTGCGAGTTCAAGGCTAGCCTGGGCTACAAAGTGAGCTCAAGGCCAGCCTGAACTGCACAGTGAGACCCTGTCTCAAAAAGACCAAAAAAAAAATTTTTTAAAAATTCAAAAAACCCTTAATATTATTATTTTGTGCAAAAATATTCATTTTCTTCTGGTAATGAAATGTAAATAAAAGCAGTCTGAAGTTACACCTGACTGGTTAATATTAAACAGAATGTATAAAAACTGCATGTGAAGAAAAACAACAAGCAAGAAGACAAAAACAAACAAACAAAAAAAACAGGCTGGGCATGGTAGCACATGCCTGTAATCCCAGCACTCGGGAGGCTGAGGCAGGAGGATCGTTGTGAGTTCAATACCAGCCTGGGCTACAAAGTGAGTTCAGGGCCAGCCTGCACTGCATAGCAAAACCCTGACTCAAAAAGACAAAAACAAAACAAAAAAAAAAAACAAAGAAAAACAATAACAGTAATATCTAAAAATGATAATATCTATTAAGAGTCATGGGATATCAGTGACCTTTTTCCTTCCAAATACCTTAATGATACTTAAAACAAAAATAAAACTCAAACTCACAAAGAATAAATGTCCAGAAAGTGAAGCAATAGGGTTCTTTGTGTACTTTGTCTAAGTCTCCTTGTGGAGGAGTTGGGTGGTGATTGTGTATATTTACAGTCAAGCCATTAAATTTTTAAAAACATATTAGATAATAGAAATTTTATGGAAAATATATCCAGTATACACATCCAGAAGGATGGGGGTATCTACAGTAGCTCTCTCTAGGTGGTGATATTATAGGGGATTCTTATTTTCTTCTTTGTATCATTTTTTAACTTAGGGTTAACTACATATACTCATTTCTAATAATATTTTTTAAAGTTGTATATGTAAAATATTACTAAGTTCAATTATTCCAAAATTAAGTACAGTCTAGATAACTAACTCCATAATTTTATCACAAAATAGACAACTTTCTCATATCATTTATTTTATACTCAGAATCTAGTAGTTCTGTTTCTTCAGCTAAACACCTCCTCCACAAACGTATTTCATGCTAAGTCCCAAAATAATGACAATATGCCTACTGATACTTTATGCATAAGCCCAGGATTTCCACACACAGTTCATTAACCAATGAATTCATATTAAGAAGGAAATGGCATTCATGATGACTATATTACATAGATTTAAATATACTTTTCTCAGGTAATACTTCTTCCTGTGATCTTTAAAGCCTAATTATGAAATACAAGCTCAGGAAGTGTTAGTCTCATTCCCCAGAAATACAACAATAACAGAAATACATAATCCTATTATGTAGAAATGCCTAATGTCAGCATTAGAAATCAATTATTCTACGTAAGTACTTTATATATGCTTTAAATGTTTCATAAAAGAAGTGAATAAAATCTTGATGAAATCTGAACATAATATGAGCTTGAGAAAACATAAAGATCAAAAATCAAGAAAAAGAATAAAAGAGTAGAACAAAAGGAGAAATGGTAAGAAATAAAAATTAGAGGGTTATAGGGGCAAAAGCAACCCCATGATAGCCAGAACTAGACTATGAGCAAAGGTTTCAAGCCTAACATAGTCAAGAACTATCCACAGAAGTGGAAAACAATGATGACAAAAGTTAAGGAATGGTACACCTACCAGAAGTAGTCCAGAGCTAACAGGGAAGAAAAAAAGAGTATCACATGGTATATGCACAAATAGTTCTAGCCAAAGTCATGAACTGAATTCTTCCAAAACTGAAGGAATCTCATCTACTTGGTATGGTTTTATAGTGCTGGCCACTTAAAGAAATAGATGGCCACAAACTTCTTGCACGTTCTGTCACTTAAGTATTAAAATGAGTATCCAAACTGAGAAAAGCCCGAAGTACTAGGGAGCAGATTAATATGCTCCCTACCTCAAATCTGATTGGTTATAATGGAAATCACAATGCCCAATCTCATCCTGACACAAGAGTAGACCAAACAGAACCTACCACATTTTCCCCTCTCTCAGGAGTTTTTAAAACTAAAATTAGCACACAGAAGCAGTGAAAGCATACCATCCCTGAAGTTCTTGTTTTATGCCTATCCCAAGCATGATTTTTATTCTCTAAAACAATTTCTTCAAAGAGTTCACCCAAAGTTGTCATCCTTCCTACCAGCAGCCCCAATGGGCTCTGGTGAGTGACATCCAGACATTTAAACTCAAAAGCTGCTTCAGAAGAGAGTTATTAAAATTCAAATGAGCTAGGCATATTGAAGAAGAAAACACTCGTTTGCATGCACACCTACGCTTTTGGCCATCCCATTTAGTCCAATAGAGCAGGGTCTGGTTTTGTTTTTGTAAATGGGCTTCGGAGGCGAAGGTCAGCCTCCCACGGCCCTCAGTCCTCTGGGGTCATCATTAGTAATGTGTAAGGCTGAATAGAGTTTCCTCGGAGTCTAGTCAGCAAACCTGACAAGAAGGCAGCCCTCTCCCACAACCTGAAAATACTGAAAATCCAGATGGTACTATGGCACTTTTTAATACATCATTTATCTGCTTTAAAATAGCTTTCAGCAAGACTGCACATCATAGCACTGCTTCCAGTTCACCTGATTTTTCAGTCTTACAGTGGAACAGTTCCTGCTGTACCATGACTGCGTAATTGTAAAAATATTACATTTACCCAAGAACTCCCCTGTAAGATTCAGAAGAAGTTCATTTGTGCCAAGAAATAGGAACTTCAGAAGCCAAAATAACATTTTATTTACTAGAAAAGATTCTTGCATTTGACCTACAAGTTTTGATTTTATTTCTCATGGAAATATCTCCTTTACCAAAATTTTACAAGCTAGCAATGTATAACCTAATAAAATATATAGCAAAAATGTAAAGTCCTAGTATTATTCTAGCCATGAAAATTTTAGATGCTCATTTAGTTAAGAATTCAATTTCTTACTAATGAAGACATCTCTCTTATACCTACTTTAAATAGACTTAATTCATGACAATGTAGTCAATAAAATAATTTGCATAGTAAATGTAACATATATTTATATATTATGTACAACAATGACAAAATCATGTATCACTTTTACTGAGGATAATTAAAAGTAAATAATGCTAACTCACAATCCTAGAATAACAGCATATTCTAGAACTCCCAAAACTAAAGAAAAGTATCTTCAGGCTATGAAAACAGTTTTATAATCTGAGAGCTCCAGGCATTATTTTATCCAATGGGAAATCAGAGCGTTACTTCCTTTCCAATGGTAAGATCCTATTTTTCCATCAGCTTCTTTAATCAAACTATATTCTCCAGATTTCTTCCAGTCTATAAATTTAATTCATTTTACAACTCTTTTTCTTTCAAAAATTATAATGTCTTGGTATAACACAGACACTGGGGCTGGGGATTTAGCTCAGCGGCAAAAGCGCCTGCCTGACAAGCGCAAGGTCGTGAGTTTGGTTCCCGGTACCGGAGAAAAACCAAAAAATAAAAAAATAAAAAAATAAAAAAAATAAAAAAAATAAAAAATAAAAAAAACACAGACACTGATTTTGGCTATCCAAGAAAGAAATGAAATTAACAAACAACAATGAAACAGCACTGCATTAACAAAGCTCATACTTAAGTCATGATATATTCATTTTTAATATATTTTTTTGCAAAGCTCCAAGTACTCATTAAAGAGTACTTCCTCAATAATTCACATAGTATTATTCTGGTTCCAGTTAAAACAAAAGGAATATAATCTACATCTTTAAATAGCTTTTGTTCTAGTGTGGCCGGCAGCAACACAAAAGTCACACAGGAACAAATATGCACCGAGAAAAAACAAACAAAAAATAGGAAGTACAGGCAAGAATTCACAGTATGATCACACATGGGACAGAGGGAGTATTTCCAAGACAGTTCTGTGTTATAAATTGAACCCGGGTGTGTTTTTCCTGCTGAGAGCACACTGTTACTTGAAATTGACAGAAAGAGTAATGTGTGTTTTATATTTCTTAAGGGCCAAATGGAAGACTAAGGCTTCCCCAGAACCACCCAAATCAGAGACCGTAACTTAGAGACCACAGAACGTGTATGTTTGTGCAGCAATTATTGTACTTAGCCTCCTGACTGTCTCCATTAGGAGGCTGGTTTAGCAGAAGAAAATACTCACCCTTCACAATTTGTATTGTTTAATTCTACAGAAGCATGATTAGAGCACACAAACTTAACATGTAGTAGGAATGATAAAATCCAAAATATGTGCTCACTTGCCTTTTTTTCCTCCTGTAATGAAGAAGCCAATGGCTGCTCTAATAAAACTGCTCTCAGGCAAATAGCCATAATCAGTAGGAACTGTGGAGACAGAAAATGATCAGAGTCACCAGTGAACTCCGCAGGACTAATGAAGGAGAAATAATGATCTCATGCTACCATGTCAACATAGAGACAAACTGCAGAGGAGATGTTTATGCCATAATCTCAGCCCAATACTCTGTGGCTACAACTAATTCTATTAAATTAGATGATTGGTCTTGAAGTCATCACTTAAGCTATACAGCAAATCTAAGATGGTGGTAAAATGTGTACAGGTTGACAAAAAATCATAGTGGATGAATACATTAACTTAACTGATTCAAAAATTTCTTTCCACATTGTCATGTCAGTGACTCCCAATGCAATGACCTCCTCAGGGTCATCAAGGAGTCTGCTATACTTCAAAGCTTAGACCATTGTTCCAGGTGCCTCTTCAGGACAGACTAAATCGGATACATGAATCACAGCAATTCAACCACCAGTATTAACAGCACCAATCTCTTACCTAAGGTAGAGGTTTCTAAGTGACCAACACGTAGTTGCTGACCTTTAAAAGCGAGGCAATGATATTTAATACTAGTTAAATCCTGAGAGTCTCCTAAATCCTTTTCCTCCCAGTTCCCTATAATTGTTTCTTTTATTCTTTTTTTGTCTTTTTGAGACAGGGTCTCGTTATGCAGTTCAGGCTGGCCTTGAGTTCACTTTGTACCCCAGGCTGGTCTCAAACTCAAATGATCCTCCTGCCTCAGTGTCCAGAATGCTGGAATTACAGGCGTGGGCCACCACACCCAGACCCATAATTGTTTCATGAGACCCTGGTTGTTGCTACAATAAATCACTTAACCGGAAAATTCCATCAGGAACAAGCAGCTGTATTTTTCCAGACATATATAGTCGTATTTTTCAGAAGAACCTGAGAGTAGGATGGATGATTGACTACTACCTGATCTGAGTCTATTTGGGCCAGACCAACTACCCCACAATATGACAACTTAAAAAACATATATACACAAGCAAAAATCTGACAGAAATACACTCATTTAACCCAGGATATTGTGAGCGTCCTGACCTTCAAAAGTAGCATTATCAAGGCTTTTCAACATGATTACTTTTTTCTTTTTATCATTTTAATATGACAATTTCCAACGCTCTAAAATTCATTATGTTGGGAAGGCTATGGACCAATGTCCTACTTCTACAGCTGCACAGTAACCGAAGTGAGGAAAACAATAACCACAGTGGCTCACAGCCACAGTGCTATTGCTGGTAGACTGTCTATTGGTCAGGGTAAGTGAAATGAAATATCAATGAGGAATTTTCAGCACCTAATCTCTCTGGCCTGGGCCCAAGACAGCCTTGGGTCAAAACTCTATAAAAAGCAAGGAAGAGATATATTAAGAAAATCCCCAAGTACAAACATAAATTAAGCCTGTATGGATCACAAGTATTTTTAATGTTTTTATCAAAAAGCTACAAACAGAAAAGGCTCTGTTATAGTAAGACTAATGATTTCGATTCCATGGATAAAGAAATGCATATCTTTAAATGTACTTACTCCATTATTTTATATAACTAGCACCAGAAAAATTCTAGTTACACATAAAGAGATTTAATGAAATACAATATCATTACATCTACTAAAATACATCTGCTCTACTCTTCAAGGACCTGGTTTCTCATATCTAGATTTGTCACTAAACTAACTCCCTACGTCATATAATCCTTCTAAGCCTCAGATGCTTCATTTGTAAATATGGGGTTAGACCATCTACACCAGTGGTGGTGAACCTATGGCACATGTACCACAGCAAGCTGTTTGTACCACTGAAAACTCTAAAAGGTTCACCATCACTGGTTTAGCCTGTCCTCTAAGAGAGGCAGAGAGGATGAGTGAGTACACAGGGGCTTTGGAGGTCACGAGAGCTGAATTCAGATCACATGTCCATCATCTCCTGCCATGTGGCCCTAAGTCAGAAAGCTTCTGTATATACCATTTTACTCTAAAATTAAGTAGAGTGGGGAATACACGCCACTTAGGGTTGTTGTGGAGAGTAATGCTCTTAACAAAGTACAGAGCCATTCTTCTTTAGTCTGGGGTTTTAAGACTTTAATCTTACCAGAGGTTCTGCTTTGATTTGAGGATAGAGTAGACAGATGAAGATGTCCTAGAAGCCAGATTGCATTTGTCTGAAGACCAATCACCCCAGAGACACTGATGACCTGTAGATAGAAATTTAACAATTCAACGATGGGCAAGATCCAAGTTCCGTTCCATAAGAGATCATGTATAGTCGCTAATCTTTTATGAGGTAGTGGTTTGGCTGACAAGACGTGATATGTGTCTATACAGTAGACACATATAGTTATACCGGTGCTCAATAAGTGTTTGCTAAAGTGATAAATGAACCCGACCAACCAATGAGGGTAGAAAGTACTAGTTCTAGTGGTTTTCTCAGGTTTTACTCTATGAGATTGGTCGCAAAGGATTTCTCCACAAAATGCTAAAAGAAAATTTAAGAAGTAGATAAGAAAGCCAAGTTGCTTAAGGCTAAAATATCTCTAAAAACTAGGATATATTATTTTGTTCTCCTCTTTAAATAATTTTCTATTGCTGCTTTGTCATTTACAATCATTTTAAAATAATAGTTTTAATTTACAGATTCCCTGCCCCTAGGTATAGAAACTTAAGTTTCAATAAAATTCTTTTCTGAGCATATTTATATTTATACATGGAAAAGAGCTTGTTCAAAGATTTATGTTTGCTTTTAAAGCATGAATTACTAAAATTCCTTTATGTGGTGGGTATTATAATAGCCATGTGTTATAAGAAAAGAAAGATATAAATGAAAAGATATACAGTTCTACATAGAGTAAGTGCCAATCATAAAAAGTAAGATGCTTGAAAAAAATGACCAAATATTAGCAGCAACTGCTTAAAGTTTGGAGGACCACCAATGACATATACTTTAGCTTTTTTTTCATTCTGTTCTTTCAAATTGTATGCAATGACATAATTCCTTAAAATAAAAATCTTTAAAGATATAAACACTGCTTAGCAGATGAGTATGTTTATTCTTTTGCCACAAACAGCTCTGACAACGTCTTACCCAAATACTTTTATCAGTACCATCTGAATTAGTGTCATTTCCCAGATATCTCGTCACCTTGATCACTGCCTGTCTTCCTTGTCCTGAGTGCCGAATGTCCCTTGAAGGTCAGGTTTTAATTTTTAGGGGAAATTAGTACCAATTTAACTAAAAATGCCAGCTTTTTTCCAGATGCACTGCATGTTTGTCAGTGAATACAGGTCCACACACCACTCTCAAATGCCCTTTCAACTCAGCATGAATAATCAAAGACTTCCAGATTTTCCAGGTAAAACATTCCGGATCAAATATAGGAAAAAAGATGATTAACAGGAATATCTGTTTTCCTCCCAATGATTTTAAATTCTTCTTACCTGAGTTAAGGTTCTAATGACTTCATTAAGTCTGCCTTGAAAGTGAGAAGACTGCATAGCTTCTGACTTCAGCTGAAAGAATAAGGAGAAATATCCAACAGCCCCCCGACACAATAAAGAGTAAATAATTGTATTCCCAGTACATAAGCAATATTCTTAACTATGGAATAATTAATCATATGTCTTTATATTTCAAACACATGAGTTATGAGTCCCTCAAGGGCAAGGCCCATGCTTTATTTATCACTGATATCTTAGCACATGTGCAGAGTGGAATGTAGCAGTCACTCAATAAACTTCTACTATAGGACCAAGAACTTCCTTTAGAATTACTTATATGCCCACTGTGAAATCATTGTGAAGTTAAAATTAAACATTACAGATGCAAACTGGAGTTTCTGTGAATGATTCTCTAACTTTCTTAGCATTCAAACACTGTTCAGGCAGGGAAGTTTATGGGAAGTACCTATACTGGCAAAGCTTAATACCTACACATCAACTAAAACAAGGAATAAATCAAATCCCACAGAAAGAACTCTTGGCCAAGAATACATTTTTTTTTTTTTTTTTTTGGGTTTTCTCCGGTACCGGGAACCGAACTCACGACCTTGCGCTTGCCAGGCAGGCGCTTTGCCGGTGAGCTAAATCCCCAGCCCCCCAAGAATACATTTTCATACAACAAGGCTTTGAAAAGCCTAGTGTCACTATCACAATGAGCATGTATTTATCTGTCCATAGCATACTAAGACATGGGTGTTCTCCTCATGCCATGGCTATGTATGCCTTTCGATCCCTTTCCTCACCTGCATGGCATCCCCTTCAGAGCCAGCCATGGCCACCATGCCATGGAGAGCTGCCAGACGAAGCACTGTAGGAGAGCCCTGAAGACAAAGCATCACAGTACATCAAGAGAAAATACCCCTTGGGTTTGGCTTCCATACAGGTTATTACTGCACAGAGAAATTTTTAAAAATTTTTCTATTGCTAAGAAATACATAGTCAAAGTGGTACTGAATGTGCAGGGTCATAATAACCTGAATAATTCAACCAAAAGTCATAGACAAACTAAAACAAAGTAACAGATTAAGGTTGTTAGATCCTAGGGGGCATGGTGGCACACGCCTATAATTCCAGCACTCGGGAGGCTGACGCAGGAGGACTGCTGTGAGTCTGAGGCCAGCCTAGGCTACATAAGCAAGTTCAAGGTCAGCCTGCATTACATAGTGAGACCCTGTCTCAAAAAAAAAAAAAAAATTACAATACTGACAAAATATCCAGTTTAAAAAACAACTATAATGATTGACAGGATATATTATTTATACAGGGTTAAAAGTACACCTCTCATTTGAAATTGCTAGTTCTATTATTAAGCTATATCATAGTAATGCTTATAAATGGCCCAATAAAATAGCTTTTTTTACCATAAAAATAGAAAAAGGCACAAAAGAGGTGACCTCTACCTCTGAAAGAACAGCTCTGATCCAGCCAGGGAGAAGTCTGCTACCCAAGTCTTCAGCTTTCCCATGTCCACATACAGACAAACCATGAACTATGTTTCCTAATGCCAGGGCAAAACCTGAAGTCTGTTTGGAATAAATAAAAACGGGATGGGAAAAAGAAAAGAAAAAAAACAGATTAGAAATGTTTATATACATACAATGTATGTATTTATATACTTATATATATGGCTCAACACAAGTATTTCTAGAGGCTTCCAGTCTTCTTCCAAGTTCTACTTGTTACCTGAAAAATCAGAGAATACACACACACACACACACACACACACACACACACACACACGGTTGGCAACAAAAACTTCAGAGTCTAACGGCCAGGAATACTACTGCAGAGAATAGTTTGTCTTAGGAAATACTGTACTACTAAGGAACTTAGTTCAAACAATCCAAACTCACAGAAGGGATAAAGGGTGAAAATATCAAGGTCTGCCTCCTACACAAGGCCTAAACTCCTAAACAAGAAGAGAAAACATCCCACAATGAGCACAGCAAACAAAAACTTCTGTATTTTGACTTTGTAAAACATTCTAAATGCAAGAGAGCAATTACACAGCCAGAAAACAGTAACAATACCAGTGAATCCTGCAATAATCCACTATGGTCAATGTTAAGTGTTCAGAGAAGTCTCTTTAAAAATGAATCCAGTGGGGAAATCATACAGAATGTTATTAGAAGGGTATTTTCTCAATTTTTTACTGTAATAAAATAGACATAAAATTTACTATCATAACCATGGACACCCCCATTCCTCCCTCTCACAGCCCCTTGTGCCAATTATTCTACTTTCTGGCTCTAGAACTCTGACTGCTCCAAGCACCTCAGACACGTACAATCCTACAGCATTTCTCCCATTACTGGCTTATTTCACTTAACATAATATCCTCAAGGTTCATCCATGAACCATGAAACATGTGCATGAAAGCACATGTCAGAACTTTCTTTTCAAGGCTGAATATTTCAGAAAGATCATTTTAAGAGTATTTTATTTATAGGTATTTAAATTTTCCTGCACAGATTCAGTATGGGCAGAGATTTTCTGCCTTGAACTCTCTGAAGTGTGACTTTATAAGACTTCTTTGTGTGACCACACCTTTATAAATTTTTGTTGCTAGCTTTATGTAACTTTTATATTCCCTAGCCATGTATCTTAAAATTTTGGAAATATGGAGTAATAGTTGGAGAAAGAGGGAAAAAAGCCTATCAATACACTCTCAATGAAAAGAAATCTCTATAGATGGTAGGAGATGAAGAGAGATAAAAAACCAAAACAAAACAAAACAAAAAAAACACATGTGTAACTAACTTTTGGCTGCAGTAGTGAGAGAAGAGAATAGCCAGAAGTTTCTCAGTTCTTGACATGAAAAATATCCCTTCATAGCCTAACAAAGAGTATGTCAAAGCAGGATTTAGCAGCAGCATGAGACCCATGGAGAGCAAATCAAGACACATATTCCAACCTGCTGGTTGTTCTCCACCAACAGTCGAAGCTTGTTCATAGTATCTTCAGCCTCTGCAGCCTCAATAATGCCAGCACTGAATGCAGATGTACATACACAGCTAAGGGTGTAGGCAAGGACCTGAGGAGGAAGTTACAGCAGAAAATGTTTTCTTTCATGCGGCAAAAAAATCAAAGAACATGACTTTGTTGACACTGATATTTTGCCAGACTTCACCCTGGGCTAAGAACTGCATTCAAATACATTTATCACAGGCTGGGAATGTTTTGTTAATATATTTAATAACAACGTCATGATGAGTATCATTACTTCTACTTCAGGTCTCAGGTCTCAAATGAGACCTGAGATGCAGTTACAAATAGATGGCGGAGAGAAACAGGACTCAAACCCAGTTCTTCAGTCTCTAAGCCAAAGAGTTTCCTCAACACATTGTTGAGAACACAACACCTACCAACATCATTAGGAAACAGGCAGATTTCCACCAGTAGTGGGTACTTATGATCACCAGACATCCCACCCAAGGCCACACAGGATGGAAAGTTCAACGAAGTGAAATACAGCTGTGTTAGGATTTCCCAGAAGCGGCACAGCATGATTACAGCAGGAATGTGTTCAGGAGTTAAACTGTGCAAAATGGGGGATAAAACTAGCTATTTTACAGAGCTGTGGAAAATTAGTCAGTAAATAAATAGATGAATAAAGAAAGAAATCAATAAATATATAAATGAAGAAGAATCTTGGCAGTGGAGACAACACTTAGGCATATATCCCAATTGATAATTTACCAGCTAAGTAACTTTGAGCAAGACACTCAATCTGAATCTCGATTTCTGCAAATCAAGGATTCATCATCCCCTCCCTGCTATCTTACATTTTCATGATAAAACTCTTGCTTATAAGGATGCTATTAAGTGGAAAATTTAACTCCTAGTGAGGGTTGATCCATGAAAAATAGAAGCACTTTTCAAGGTAGAAACTGGACAATAAAACATCAGAAAGGAGAGGAAAAAAAAACTGCTTGTTTAAGGTCTTATAAATCAAACCATCAAAGCAGACAGATGCATCAGTTATAAAAACCTTGTGTTCATGTATTAACCAAATTGCTCTTTGGTCACAAGATTTTCTCCTTGGCTTGAAAAATATGTACTTTTAAATCATGCTTTACACTGCTTTAAAAATGGAAATGTGGTGCATGTCTTAGAACAAAACTTCACCCTCTATGCCCCAAAGAAATTCACCAATTCAACAAGTCCTATTGCTGAAAGCAGAGGAGCTGAGCAGGGAAACACAGCAGCCATTATGTGCTTATCAATAGCTGGAAGGCGGGCTGGGGTAAAACAGAATCTGCTCTAATGAGAGGGAGAATCTGGTCAGGCCACCAGGTCATCCCCAGCTCCTCCCAAAGCAGTTCAGGCAGTTCAGCTTCACCTGGGCACAACAGAGGCGGGCACCACACCGGCCTAGCATTCCATCTAAACACACTAACATACACTATATCCCATGTACTCCAGTTCTGCATATTTCTGTGCCACACTGTGTGATAAAGGGAATTTCCTTGATAATTTTTCATGCTAGTGGGCAGTTGGAAAAAATCAAATCTTTTTTGATCTGCAGCAATTTTAAGCTTATTCCTGGTTTTTTTTTTTTAAAGTTACATTTGGTTTGGGCACCATTATGAAAATTTCCATTTCCCAGCTTCCAGAAAGTGCAGCTCCTCTTAGGAAGAGCCTTCCAGGGATGCTGACTTGGGTTTCTATATTCACTGAAGGCTCTTATCTCATAGACCACATTTAAATCTCAGTTAATTTCATAGCCACACAATTTAAAAACCTCATGATTTTCTCTTTATCACAGTTGAAATAGAGGAAGAATTTAATTTAAAGGGTTATCCAAAAATGAGTAGAAAATAAGCAGCAAGAAGAAAACAAAAGATAGCAAAGGTAAAAGTACAACCTTCATCTCCTACCTCCTGAAAGGTCCTGCTCTGGCTCCCACTGTCATCCAGGTATGCAGACAGTCTCCGCAGTGATGCCGCCACGTGCACCCGCGACTCTGTTTGGCTGCTGTGGCTCATGAGAGACAGAATGAGTCCAACTCCCAGAATACAGCCTGTGCTTGGATGCCAAAAAGACAAAGTGCAGAATCACAAGAAAGCTATACGAATGCTCTTCAATTACCATAGGATTTCCCAGTGCTCTGAAATTCAGGTCAGATGGCAGGATTCTAATTTTTCTCTAACAGTGCCCCAGGATTCATGACATGTATACGCAGCTCTCCCCTCTCCAGGAAAACTTTATATTGACATAGGTATCCATGGCCCAGGTAGTGCTCTCCACTCACTGGGCAAAAATAAAAAACGTGAGACGATATGACTGAAACTTTAAGAGGAGGAAGCAAACAACAGCTTTATCTCTGCCCTGACAGAAAGGTGTTGGACTCTCATCTACCTGTATTGAGTACACTATGAGTGTCTGCAACAGGAAAGAAAAAGATGCACTTCAAGGTACTAATCACGGGGGAGATGAACACAAGGCACAGTTAGGGGGTACTGCTAAGTGCTTCATGTCTCCTAGTCAACTTCAGCAAGCGGAACTTCTAACAGAAACAGTGCATTCATCTGAGCACAGCGACATTAACCCTCCTCTCCCCTCTGATCTCTCACAGTACCGCTGCGTCAGCAGAGAAAGGGGACAAATGAGAGGCTTGTCAAGTTACTCCATGTGACAATTCAACTGGAATCTGGGGCTTTGTGCCCCAGTTCTCCTGAAAGAATACATACCATTTGAAGAAAAGAATTGTTCCCTGACAAAACTTCAAGTTAGAATGATAAGATGATTGCCTGTGGCAATCTTTTACTTTTTTAAAAGAAGTATCTGTCATCACTATTCCTTTATAACTGGAAGAAATGCCGAGTTCCCCCAACCCCTTCAACCCGGAAATCATCCTGGCTCTGCTTTGGCCTGCCTCTCATCATGGTGTCTGCTGCTTAAGAAGATACATCTCTGGGCATTTCTCCCGTAGTATATTCCAGTGCCCATATGTTATGCCACTTTTCTTTCAAATGGTATCTATAACCTTGGCTGGTGTCAAGAACCCTCCCATCATTTTATGAACATTTTACTAACTTTCCCTAACACTTCTGTGTAAATGGTGTGTCCACATTTGATAGTAAAGACCCAAAAGGATGGACGGCCATCAGGATTTGCTCCAAGTCACACAGAGAGCTTAGAGCAGAACAGGACCTGAACAAGGGGACTTCTGGTTCCCAGCCTTCCACCTGCCAAGCCTAATACCCACCTCAGCAGCCTGCATGAAGCCTATGAAAAGGCAACATACATTAAGGGTTTTTTTTTAAAATTTTTAGTTTCTATTGAATAACAATCTGGAATTGAAAAATCCTTTGTAAAGAAGCTGTTGCTGTCATCATCCCTCTGTAGTCAGTTCGTGTAACTGTTATAGCTTACATGAACTTAACAAGCTCAACTAGCACATTGGATTTCTAATCAGTGAAATCAACATTAACACCTGACCATTGCATGCTTTCAAAACAAATCAAATTTCCAATGGAAGAAAGGCTTTTCCTGATTAGTATATATTTAAAGCTTTCATTTTAATTTAGAATCTATAGGGAAGTCTTCTTTTTCTAAGCTATCATTCTATATTCATGCAGACAAAAATTTGAAAGAATTAAACCAAAGATGTAGTTAGACACATACTGATTAATACTTTGACAGTTTTGACTATTGCTCTGCGCTGACTATGTAATTACTACTTATGCTTAAGACTTCACATGTGACTTGCTCAGGAACACCTTTCATGGCCCAGGAGGAACCCTCTTCAATACTCTTCCCCAACACCCTGTCTGAACTTGCTTCCCACAATCTTGTACATTCTGATGAGGATGACTTTGGAGACTGTTTGGTTTCTATCTCTGTCCTAGCCTGCAAACTCCATGACAGCCTTTTCTACTGTTCCTAGCTGCAGTATCTATGGCACCTAGTACACTGTTTGATGTATATAAGCGTTCAACCAAAATTTAATGAATGCTCAAGAGCTGACCAAATGGAGAACTATATGAAAGTTTAAAATGTACAGAAGCTCTATGGGGAAGAAACAAAAATAAGTTAAAACACACACACACACACAATCTGACACTTATGCTTTAGTTGTAGGCAAACCATAATTATGAGTGGGAAAATTCATAAAAGGTATCTAAGATTCGATCAAGAAAAGTTGACTATTTCTTGCCAATTTAAAAAGGTGGGTTGGATATGTATGGAAAAAGGGTTTCTCTTAAAGCTGACTCACGTAAGAATTATGTTTCAGTTTTCACAGTAAACAGGCACATGTCTAGGTCCTGCTTTTCCAGCTATCCTGGACTCACAAAAACCTCTATCCCTTGGACTAAAGCTGCTTTTTTAGCATCCCAAGATGCAAAGGCACAAAGGCTTAGAAAAAGACAGTTTACCTTTCACATTTATGTAAACATTTTCACAGAGATTATTATTATGAGATGAGGTTATAAATTTATTTGTGGCTATAGTGACACATGAATATATCACCTAACTACGGAAATATATGTAGCAATATAAATATGTTAGAATGTATGCATCAGTATCAGAATAAATCTGTTAGACTATATGCATCAATTGACTTTCTTAATAGTTTCCTGCTACTTTTTCTCAATTTCCTAGTATGGCCCTAGAGGTATTCCTAAAGCTTTATTCCTTCTGCTTTCAAAATCTTCCACATTTTAAAGTATTTGTCCTAAGTCTTAAAGATTTCCCCAGGGGACTGGGTCACTATTTCTATTAGCTCATGTGTTTATCTCATTCTAGGTACTTTCAGATATGTCTGCCATTTCAAACCGAGAATAATTTGGGCAAAGAAGAAGCGTGCACATATTTCTGTCCATTAAAAACAAAAAAGGAGTTATCTTTATGTCTCAGACAAGTGGAAATAAAAACAAATACTAAGTACAAAGTCAAACTTTGAAACTGCTAACATAAATGTTTCAGGAGAATGCTAACAAATCACTAAGAGAATCTGAAGTTTTAAAATTCTGTATCCTATAATGTCATTATTTATTTGAATTCCTTTTCAGAGTATACCAAAATATTACCAGCAAAAAGAAACCCTGAAAAGCCATGCAATTCTGATATTTGTGGTATTGTATCAACTGAGACACAATGATAAATTTTTCTAGACCAACCAGAAATGAATCTTGAATACCCTAGCTTATTGTTGGCAAGCCTGGCAAGGCCATCTAATAACTAGTTTTAATAATAATTAACATTACACAAAGCGCTATACAAATGTTACTGTATTTGTAAAGACTCAATAGTAATTCACCAAACCTCCTCCTGTGAAGGATAGAATGACAAGTCAGGGCTACAAGGATAGCAATGGCACAATAATAAGTGACCACTAGATGGCAGGAAACCTCAAGTGATAGGTCCACGCACACTGACCAGCCAGGTGCTCGGCTTTCTCAGCGGGGAGAAGTCCATTAAATCAGAGAAGCGTGGTGAATTTGTTCTGGGTGAATTCTATCACTTGAGGTAGCACACTCCCAGATCTATTAACCACTTCCTAGTAATGCTTCCCCTGCTTCACTGGAGGGAGGACTGCCATGGACTCCTGCAATCTTATTAGACAGGAATACTTTAACGCCACGAGCTAGGCATTTAGGACTGGGAGTAGTTGGAAAACCAGGAAAAAAGAATTTTTTCCTTCCATTAGAGAAAAAAAAAAGCACCCCACCATCAGGTGTCAGATTGCCTGTTTCCAATTAAACGTGTTCTCTACATTGTACTATGCCAGAGAAAGAAAAATGGCTTTGAGTCATGATAAAGATTTAACTAAATAAGAAACAGATATAAAAATGCCTAGTTCAGTATGTGGCTGCTAAGTGTCAGCTGGGCATGAAACCAGAGACAGAAGAATACATAGGACTGACAACCACAAAATATCAGGGAATAAGAAAATACTAAAAACTTCATTAACTGTAGGAGTAACCAGGGTGTGGAGAGGATACATGAAGGGCTTCTTGCAGGTAGTGAGCTCTTAACTGGGCTCTGATAGATAAGCTCTGCCCTAGATACATGCTTCACACGATAGGCAGAAGATAATACTAAGGTGTTAGTAATATAGAGATTAAGCCATAAAATCATATTTGCTGTATTGTATTTCAGCAAACTATTGCCGAAACACGGTTTTTAAAATAAGTAAGCTTTAATTATGAGGTTTTGAAAAGTTATTGCTGAAACCTCTCCACAAAAACATTCAAGATCAGATGCTGCAAGTATTTCACTATAGCATGTGAGATTTATGTCTGAGTAGGAGCCAATCTCTAAACGTCTGTTAGAAAGGAAATTGAAACAACATACTTGTATTCAAGACTAGTGTCAAAGCAGCAATCTTCCAGGGTATCCAAAGACTTCATCAGAAGAAGGTTCATCTGCTGGCCAGATATATCACTGCATAATGACCAAAAAAGGAAAACAAGTATGAATATTCAACAGTTCAAAATATTTAATATAAAATATGCTGCTCTCAGTGTTCTATGCAAAATGCCAGCATTTCCTTTTTAAAAAGTTAAAAGTAATAATAATTTTAACGATTCATATATGCTTATTTTGTAGATAGGAAATCTGAGTCACACTCATTAACCAAGTTTCAGAACAGTACAAACACTTATAAACCAATAAACCCTAAAGCTTCTACTTTTGATTTTTCTCTGCATATTACTGATAATTAAAAACCAAAGTCAAAATTCCAAACTTTTTTAAGAATTCAAAAGTGATTTCCTACAGAATATTTAATAACCTATTAAGCTGATACGGTCAATAGTCATTTCAAATCTCTTTCTTGCAAAGTTGTTACTTCTGATTTAATGTCTCAATTGTAGTTGTTATAAGTTTTCCTTTACTTATATATTTTAAAGAGGGAACAATTCTAGCTGTACATTTTCTGATTTTATATAATTTATGTGGTTTTTGTAATTGTCTTGGGGAAAAAAATTGTATAGTGACATAAAGATTAAAAGGTAGCTCCACGGTTGTCTTTCCGTCAGACTTGTGGGACTCACCACTGACCCCTTATTATTCAGGGCTCCCTACATCTGAGTTGTCAGTGCTGCCACCCCTGGGCATGCTCGGTAGAATGCCAATCCCAAGAATGCCAACCGGCCAGAGAGCACTTTAAACAACAGTCTCTCAAAACAAGGGTATACCAATGTTGCCCAAGATAAAGGATTATATGCCGCAATGAGAGAGACACACACACACACACACACACACACACACACACACACACACACACACAGAGATGTCATAGCTTTAACTATACAAGTCCTATTAAAATTTTTCATTGGAGTAAAATACTGCATACTCAAGTATCTTTAAAATGCTAATGAGATCACATTTGTAACCTCTGGGGGTTATGATAGAAACAACAAACCTAAAATAATATATTTTCTAAATAAGTCTTAGACTGGAATTTAAATTCAGGAGGCTTTTTTTTATAAGCCTTAGGAAAAAAACGGATTGATTGTCATAATTCTCTTTTTACAAGGTGATTTTTCATTCTCTGAGAACCAACACATTGTCCTAATCCTATTCCCATGAAGAGGTCATTTTTGGGCCACTTATTTGACTTTATAGGCTAATCAGTTACTAGCCTTCAAAATACTTACCTTTATTTTAGAAAAAAAGGGGGGGGGACCTTTCTCCAAAAATGTCATTATCCAATGACATTGTAATTATCTAGTAAGAACATTAATTAGTACAGAAAGGCAAGTATTTCTGATTCCACTGCTCAAAAAACTTGAAACATGGGAGTCATAAATAATTATATTAGTGACTATAATGTTAATACCCAGGCCCTAAGAATAAAGACGTCAAAGATTAGAATCATTAGGCAAAGTTAAAATCTGCAGTTACTCTAGGGGTGCTCAGAAGAAGCTACCTGGTGTCACTGCCCAGGACTTTCGGTAAGTACGAATTCAAGTAAGATAGGAACAGAAGGAAAGCTATGGTAGGAACTATGGACAAGTGTGGAGGGGGAATCACTCAAGAGTTTTGCGGGTGACCATGATTAAATTAACCACAAGTGCAAGTTTGCTGGCCCTAATACCAGCAGCATCTCATCCTAAGTTAATGAAGAAGGGAGCCAGGATAGGATGAAATGAGATGCCTAGAATTAAACTGTCACAGATCATTTTTAGGCTATAAAACATGTTGCTTGAAAAGCCACCAAAGGAGCCGGAACACAGATGGTAAAGAGACTGTCATTTGTATTACAGTAGCAAGGAGTGTGTATGTGTGTGGGGGAGCCCTTTCAAGCTTTAAATTTTTAAAAATACTTTATGTCCTATCACATGCACAAGATATGTACCAATCCATTCCCAGACAAGGGGCAGTTTTATGGTATGCCTAGAACCAATCCTGTATGTATTAATGGTGGCGAACAGAACAAAATGAATATTCTGAACATGTCTCATTTATGATTACAGAGACTAAGCCAGTCACCCCAATTATCTGACAGATGTTTTTAGAAGCTGAAAATGATCATATGAAGTACACCATCTCTCCAGATCAATAGCAATTCTCATAAAAGTTTCATGTATCAGTGTTTGTGCACAGTGATACAAATTACAAATGTAACCTCAACCACTAGTTTCAAGCTGTAACCTAAAAATAACATGTCACCCAGTTTATCCACACCACCACCAGTTTTTGCTTCAAACTGCTAATTTTTGCCAACCAGGGAGCTTTAGCCACATATAACGTCACAACAGGATGCCTCTCCCTACTATCTTATTTTCAAGGCAGGAAAATAGAGCTAAATTCCAAGCACTGGCATCAAAATATTTATGATATGCAAATATTTATGTAGGATTATACTAAAATCACTCTGTATATATAGCATTTTAAGGTCTGTTAGAAAACAAAGAATAAACAATACAAACAACAAAACTAAAATGATTAATACACAAGCAAACTTTCCCACTTAGTGGAATTTTCCAGCTGAGTCTTTGATATTTCATTACCTGCACTCAAAGGTAAAGCCAGCAGTCCAAAAATAAACAAACTGAAGAAAGCACACAGCACAGATTAAGAGTCTCTAAGGATGATTAAAATAAGCCAGGGCACAAGAAAAAAGCAATGTTTAACACTCAGCATGTGCCGCTCTCAGGGAAGTCAGTGATTCCCAGCACCTTGTGGGTGCAGGGAAACACCTCAACCCTTTTCTCCCGTTTTAAGGTGACATTCATAAAAGATCAGCAATTATGTTCGCCCCATACAAACGAGGGCAGAAAAAGGGAAGCTTTTTTTTACTTACTGCACCGTAAGATTAGATTTTTTGTTCACACCTTCAGTACAGATGTACTTGGGACTTTCACCTAAGCATGAAATGACTTTCAAGCAACCAACCACTCAAAGAAGCAACCCTTAAAATGTATTAATATTGATATGACAGTATTTTAGAAAGACAAATTCACCCATGAAGGAGAATAAAGGCTCAACTTACCCACCTCAAAAAGCTTAGCAACCATCTGTTGTTCAGATACAGTGTTTAGGAATGTGTGTATAAGGGTGCAAAATCCTTCACTTAAATCACAAAGGAGAAAAATGGGAATATTTTAATAAACTGTACCTGAGCTTCTCTTCACATAGGCGAGAGAGAAACATCCCCAAAGCAAGGCCCATGTGGATTTGCACGGCTTGGGACTCATCTGCACTTGGTTTCCCAGGTAACCTGGCAGTCAGCATGTTCAGGATTTCTTCAACCTTCTCTTTGCAAGAGATAATGAAAACTGGCACAAGGAGAGACAAAGCCACAGCAGCAGCAGAACGGGCTGTAGCACTACTTGTGTTTTCCCCAGAATAGGATTTCTAGGACACGCCAAAGAAAGAAAATAGGGAGTTAGTCTTTTGTTTAAAACATCAAGGAAGCACACCTATCACCAAAGTGCTGTACAACAATGCAAGCTCTTCTTAGATCTGCCCCACAGGAAACAAAACTAAAACAAAAATAAAAATATTTGCTATAGATTATGTTTTTACTCCATGAAACAAATTGTTACTAATTATCAGTTAACCAACGAAGTCCTTTTAAATGTGAAAAAAGGAAATTATAAGCCTTTAATTTTAATAGGTGTGAATGTTCTCTCTATAAAGGCTGAAAAAATTTCAGTGATTTGAAAACCCTATACATATACAGAAAAATCCAAAGTGAAGCTAATCTAACTTTGGACAAACCACCAAGCCACACTATTAAGTGTTCAAAAAGATAGGAGTGTTCCAAGAAAGAGGAAAAAAAATAGGGAAAAAGAGAGTTTAAGTTTAGTACAGAGAAATGTGTAGAAGTTTCCTGCAACAATCTATTGGCACATCTCCCAAAATTTTTGGTGGGAATACTTCCCAGTAGATGGATTATTTCCTACAGGGGGTTAATTCCTTTTAATTAAAAAGGAAGTTCAAATCCTAAAAGCCTCTGGTTACAAACCAATAACCGGCTATTCAAAATGAAATGGAGCGCTCTATATGCTTCTATATATGTAATTATGGGAAAAGAACTCAGCAACAGCCCTAATAAAATGACAGGACAGCTGAGTAAGAACAACTTCTGTAAGAATCCCATGTAAGACAACTCAATCAGGTTTTATATACATTTTAAACATGTCTCAACTGGGGAAGAAGCTTGTTTATTGTTTTTTACTATTATCCACTTAAAAATTTCAGACACCCCATAATGATAGTGTTGTTCCTAGCAATGAAAGAGTATTAAAATATGTTTCTAATTTGATGTCTATTTGCTCCCTAAGGTATGGTATTTGAAGGATTAAGATGAAACATATACTAAGTTACATTTTAAATTAATATAATACTCTTGAGACGACCATGTTATTCAAAATGCAAGGACACAAGAAACAAAGGAAGTGACTTGAAATAGGACTTTGAAAAGTATAATAATGTAAAACTCACAAAGGTAAGAGGCCACTCTGAACTGACTAGTAAAAAGATTATCTTATTGGTTTGTAAGACCTAAGCAGAATTATTAGAAATTTCATATGACATCCTGTTTTGGTATATATCTGAACTTAACAGTTATTGCAAAAACCTCCATATAATCTTCTAAGTAAGTATGAGAGAAGAAATTACCTCTTTCAGCAAAATCTACCTTATAATTTAATTCTATATTACCTGGTAAGTCATTTTTTTTCCTCAAGTATGGTTAAATATCTAGCATCAGACCCTAAGCCCCAGAAGAATACATACCACGTGCACCCAAGCGAAGGAAGACAGAGGTACACAAATGTACAGAGAAGATCATAGGAAAGGGACTGCAGGCTAAATTTGTGATCTGAGCAATAGTTCAGTATTTGGGCTATATTTTATTCAAATCAGCTGTAATCCTCTGCACTCAGCTGATTGTCCCATGATCACTATAATTCCCTAAGCAATGGATACTGATAGGGTAAAACCAAAATAATTCTGGGAACAGATGCAGAAATAAAACACACCCTACAATCAATAAAGGGCAAATTAAACCAAAAAAAGTATATTTTAATTCTGCCTCAAATCTCAGGACACAAACATAAAGATAGGGAATGACTGGATAACTGGTGCTTTGTTAGAATCAACAACATTACTTTGAATTTACAGACTATTTTGCTGTTTTCAATACATGTTTATATAACTTAAACAATTTGATCCTTAAAATCTTTCAGAGAGTTGGCAAAGAATGAATTTTTACTTTTGTTTTACAAGTTTAAAAAAAGAGTAACAAGGGTTAAGCAGTATGTCAACATTACAAAACCACTAAGGGGATAAACTAAGGTTACAATCATTATAGATGGTATCATTCAACCCTCGTGTTTTGTAAAAACAAAAAATGCTGAAAGAGATTGAGAGAACTTCCCATGGGCACATACCCTCAAACGAAAACCACGACTAGACACTCTCTGGACTCCCCATATTCCACAACTATAGCTCTTAACCCTTTATTACATTAAAGAAACATATAGAACTTTTAAAATGCTGGTGCTCAGGGCCATTCTGGAGCAATTAAATAAGAAGTAGGGTCTATACATTAGTTTTTCTTTAACCACATAGATGTATTTAAGTTTCTCAGATAATTCTAATGTACAACTAGGGTTGAAAATCATTACACTACATCAGGGATGTCATATGCACAACTGTTGTCAGAACAGTCAACCCTTGGTTTTCCCAATTATTTTTTTTTTACTTCTTGCACTTACATGATAAAAGCAGGAAAAAAGCTGTCCTTTAGCTTGGTAATGGCTATCCACAATGACCAGAAGTGTATTAAGCACCATGGAAACCCACTCTTTCATTGGAAGAAAATTAGGTTGAACCTACAGTTACAGAACAACAAGAAATAATGAAGAAATAAAGAAAACAAATCTATAACCCTTTTGTTTTAAATAATAAAGTACCATTATAAAAAAGTAAACTTCATCTACTTATTCTACATAAAGTAAACAGATATTTGACCAATACACATCCTCATCTGTACTGTAGTAAGGACAATATTTACCATTTATATAAGACTCAGCTGAAGAAGTCAATAAGGACTGTAAGAGGCAACACATCTAAAACATTCCAGAATTTTCCTATGTTCAGTGAATTATGCTTTACTACTGAGGCAAATTAACACAGCATCATTAACACCAAAGTGGGGCTGGGGATTTAGCTCAGTGGCACAGCACCTGCCTGGCAAATGCAAGGTCATGAGTTCGATTCCTGGTACTGGAAAAAAAACAAACAAAAAACAAACAAAACAAAAAACACCAAAGTGATGGGATCATAGGAAGGGGCATTAACTTTTTAGTTGTAGATCTACTTAGTGTATATATAGTAATTCATGTAATCCTTATAACACCACCATCTGGTAAGCATTACAATCCCCATTTTGCAGATGGGAACGTAGGCTTTGAAAGGCAAGATTACTAATAGAACATAGAACTAATAAGAGGAAGTAGTAAGATTTAAATAGAGGACTTTTTACTATTCCAGAGCCTATGCTTTTTTAACTGTTCAGCTACTTTGTTTCCAGATAATGATGGCTACCAGTTAACAGAGCTTAAAGCAAAAACAAACCCATGCCTTTTTACTTTGACAGATATGAATCACTGAGAAAGAACACTGGAAATGAGCACGGGCCAGCTTGCCACACGCTTGACTGAGAAATGAATGCCTTGCAAAAATGAATAGGCTCTTTATCACTGACATCTATAATTAAAATGCAAAGTACAACTTTTTTTAAATCTGTAAACGCTGCTTATTTATCATTTTTTGACAGCATTGTTCACTTTCAGTAAGCCTAGTTAACCTCCTAAGATTGGTTACCACCGATGTAATCACAGAAAGACAACCTCTGCTGCATGAAATGGGCACCTTCAAATGAAAATGACCACTTAAGTACGAAGGAAAAAGCAAAACAGAAAAAGCCACAAACGAAAGTCAGGAAGGCAGTGAAGCTCAGAGTGGAAAGACTCCTCGGGGGGTGGACCTTGGTGCTGCGGCTGCCAAAGCTAGCTCTGCAAGCCCGGGGCCAGGCTGCCCTAAAGCCAAAGCCCACCGGCTTAAACCACCGTAACTCACCTCCGGGGTGCCGTCAGAATCTGAGGCAAGGCTGGCTTCATGTTTGCATACGACAACAGCAAGGCTGCTTAAGGCTAATAGTGCATTGCCTTTCACCACTGGACTTTCTCTGTTTAAAAAAAAAATTCCAGATGACATAGAACATTAGCCATGGGAAGAGAAGGGGCTACAGGGGTGGCCAGCGAAGGAAACAAAGCACTTTCACTCCTGCACTGGGCCTCATAAACACAGGTCTGTTTGTTTCCAGCGTTAACTTTTATCCTAACACCAGTGCAGATTTTTAATTCTTCTTATCAATGTATGGTCATCATGACATTTTGTACCTTAAAAAAATCTAAGCTCATATATCTAAGTTCTTCCTTCCTAAAATTTTTATTTCATCATTTGACATGAAATTTCCTGAGCTGTCTTCTGTGTCATCGCTGGCCAGTGTAAATTTATCAGCAACCAAGGACAACTACATGAAGAAGCTCAGCAAAACACAATTGCTGCCCACTTTTCTGAAGCACTGGTGTGTGGAAGCAGCTTCCTGCGGGCCACTTCAGACAGCCAACACACATGGCAGCTTTCCTCGGTGGCTACCATCCTCTCAATCTTCTCTCATGCTAACGTCAGCAACCCTAAAGCCAGTTGTAATATAATTCGGAGGTCAAAATAAGATGGGGGCAGGGAGACAGGCTTTTAGATTATTTGGAGAATTTACCTATCATTTAAATGTGTTTTCTAATATTAGCAATACAATTTTTTATTTTGATTTCAGAATTTGGCATGAAGAACACTTAATCTTTTTCATATTATTCAACACTTGAAATTGCACATTTAGCACTATTCCATAATGCCAAGCTGATCCTATAGAAGAAAGTGCCCAATGAGACACTAATGAGATGCTATGGGCCTGCCAATTCGTCAGAACAGAATTCAGGCAACAAGGCACCCACCCAAAGACTTTTGTTCTCAGGCTTATGATTGTGTGCTCTCATAAATATATAGAACCTTGACTTGAGACTTGAACTTAAATCCACTGCACACATTCAAGAAACCTACTTACCCTAGTGTAGTACCAGAGCAGGTACGTGGAACCAGGACATTTAGTCCTTCTCTCCATGTAAGCCTGGTATCTAATTCCACATTCAACCCATGGACACAGTTCAACAGGTGAGTCAGAGGGTGCAATAAAAAGCTACTGCATGCATGGATTTTTCATTTTTGCTTCCATTTGATAATAATGAATTCAGGCCTTGCCATTACCAAGTCCTTTCAATTATCTACTTATCATACTCTCCTGCCTTGGGTCCCTATTACTGAGTAGTTCAGCTTGGTGAAGGCCTGCTCTGCACAATTGCTCATTTTGTTCACCCCTCCTCAATCCACTCTTCTCCAAGATCTGCTATAAACTAGTAAGATATCAGCATTCTTACTGAGGAGTGAGGGAGAAGAAAACTGGAAGGAAGCCCTGAGGTCTCACTCCACTCTAGGTTTAGGGTTAATTTAATACTTACATAGTTAATGACAAATACCACAAAGCAAGGGAGGACTTAGGCCATAAAATCATCTGATGAAAATAAAACTAAATGTTTTACAGTATTTCTAATACAAGGTGAGCGATAATATTCAAAAAGTTCTGGACTATGGAGCTCTTTAGATTAGAGATGCTCTATTTGTAAAGTCTATGCAAATATGCAAAATTTAAAAAGCTCTGAAATCTAAATCACTTCTAGCCCAAGCACGTTACATAAGAGGTGCTCAATCTGTCTGCTCTCTTCCAACTGAGAAGATCTTGAGGCCTGTGTTGCTACAAAATGAACATGAATTCCCTAATGGTAGATTTTTTAAAAAGTTTTCAGTTCTTGGTGATCTAAGAATTAGATCCCCGAGTCTTTATCACCATGCAGAAAACATATAATCACTTGAAACTGCATATTAAACCTTAGACAAGGATATTACACAAGAAGATATAAATAGTATATTTTAAACTCTGAAATTCTCAAAGGGAATTCACTTTCAGTTTTAAAACAGTACTTTGAAACATTTTCCTAAATTCTCTGGCCTGGATATACCTGAGCATCTATGTATTGTTGAAAAATGGAATAAAACGTATTTGAAATGTATTTGAAGACTTTTGGTTGCAAACTGAGTGCATACTTAGACATTCATCTTTAAATACAAAAAAACTGTTCTACTGTTTACAGAGCATCTGTACACCAAGTCATACATTCCAAATACCATGACTACCTACTTCCTGATTAATTTTGCATTCTCTACATAGCCAGCACAATGGCCTAATGTATATACATTTTAGGGAAACAAACTCAAGTAGGAGCTGCCCATGGAAAAAATCTACAACTGGTCCATCACACTGTTACTCAAATAACTATCCCCTACCAGTCAAACAGCAGTGACTAATTTGCATAATAATATGTCAGCATCAGTACAGTATTTATCTAGGCAACACCACTGACATTTTAATTAAACTGTCCTTTGGAACAAACTGATGTCATTAACCTAATTAAAAAGCACAAGGAGGGATAAGCTTCAACGATGCTTTCTTAGGGACAAAGTATTATATTACATATTAGTAAAGTGACCCAATCCCTTGGGGATTTTTGTCTTCAAGTTCAAGTCTACTTAATAACAAAGAAAGCAAATTTCCATCAATCGTCAGGTTTTATCTGTGTTTTGATTCTCCCTCAGTCCTAACCCTGAGGTTTGAAAAATGCTCTCAACTAAGGAAATCAGTTTAATCTCATGACCAGTGTTTTACTTCCTGCACTTAACTTGTAACTCTGAACAAAACAAGTCTATCCCTGGTCCCAAACAGTCTGTGGCAGTCATGGTCCAAGGAAACCAAAACTCGGCTGTCAGAGGTACTATGGAGTTCTTTATTCGGTTAGGGAAACCAGTAGGCTGAAGGAAAGAGAAGCGGCAGTACTTTCTCTCCCCTGTTCTGTCATCTCTTAGCCCTAAGTATGTCCTGTTCACCTGCTGTCATACCTAGTACTATCAGGGTTGCTCTAATAAGATAAAGTCTATAAAATACTTTGAAATTTTTGATGCAAAGGTACTGATGCCATAAAAACATGAATTATTTTTACTCTGTACCACTGAGAAGGTGAACACATTCTCTTTAGGTATTAGTCACAAAGTGATACTTTACAAATCTGAAGATAAAAGCCAGGTTGAAATAAAATTTTAGAATGGGAAGTGCAAAACTACTAGAGAGACAAAATTATAGCTCAATAGAAAACTGTTTCTTCAGCAAACTTTTTGCTACAAATGTCCGGAGCACTGTTTCAACAGAATATAAGTAGGTTGAACAACAAAAAAAACTGTAAAAGGTAAAGGTCAAAGACAGCCCCCACCTGCAGCTCAGCACCCCTCCCCTCCAGCAGGGAGCTGAATGCTCTCCCACTGTGCCTCCAATTCAGCGAACTAGAAAAGCAGAGCCAGTGAGTTTGTACAGAAGCCTCTCTGTACTTTAGTTTTCTTTTCTTTTTTTTTGCAGGGGGGCGGTTAGGATAATTTGTTTATGTATTTATTTCCGATTTTTTATTAGTACAGAATGATTACACTCCCCATGGAGAGGTGGTGCCTGTACACAGGTCTACAGATATTTCCCAGTGCCTCCCACAAACTGAAAACAGGGAAGGATTACCAATTCTCTTTCCCTTTTTCAAAAGACAGGAGACTGACTAGTGACTATGTTCTGAGATCAGACTTTACAGTGAAGGCCTGCTTAAGAAATTACTGGTAGACAGAATAGCAAAAGCAATCTGGGCAACAAGGACAAGTCAGGTGGAATCACAATGCCTGACCTGAAATTATACTATAAAGCTACTGTCATAAAATCCACCTCGTACTGGCTAAAAAACAGGCCTGAGGATCAATGGAACAGACTGGAAGACACAGACACAACCAAAAACACACTCAGCCACCTAATCTTTGATAAAGGGGCCAATCAAACTCACTGGAAGAACGATAGCCTCTTTAATAAATGGTGCTGGAAAAATTGGCTTAATACCTGCCAAAAACTGAAAATAGACCCAAGCCTATCACCATGCACCAAACTCACGTCAAAATGGTTCACAGATCTCAATATTAAACCAGAAACACTAAATCTACTGGAAGAGAAAGTAGGTAAAAACCTTGAAGACATAGGAGTAGGCAGAGAGTTCATGAACAAAAACCAAATTGCACATGAAACACTTGAAAGAATCAACAACTGGGATCTCATCCTACTGAAAAGTTTCTGCACATCTAAAGAAATCACCAGCAGAGTACAAAGAAAACCCACAAACTTGGAAAAAATTTTAGCTGATTGTCCCTCAGACAAAGGGCTTCTATCTAGAACACATAAAGAATTAAAAAATATCAGCCCCTCCAAATTCAAAGACCCAATCCAAAAATGGGCAGTGGAGATGAATACACACTTCTCAGACAAGGAGATACAAATGGCAAATAAATATATGAGAAAATGTTCAACATCGTTAGTCATTCAAGAAATGCAAATTAAAACAACACTGAGATTCCACCTTACCCCAGTAAGAATGGCTAGCATTAAGAAATCAACCAATAACAAATGCTGGTGAGGTTGTGGAGAAATAGGAACCCTTCTCCACTGCTGGTGGGAATGCAGACTGGTGAAACCACTGTGGAAATCAGTTTGCAGATTCCTCCGAAAATTAGGTCTAGAGGTCCCATTCAAACCAGCTATCCCCCTGCTGGGTATTTCCCCAGATTTAAAAACATCATATCACAGTGATGTATGTGCACCTATGTTCATAGCAGCACAATTTGTAATTGCTAAAATGTGGAAGCAACCCAAATGTCCATCCACTGAGGATGGGATAAGAAAATGTGGTACTTTTATAGAATGGAATATTACTCAGCTGTAAAGAAAGATAAACTAGAGGCGTTTATAGGTAAATGGTCACAACTAGAGACCATACTCGTAAGTGAAATAAATCAAACATACATGTGCAAGCACCGCATTGTTGCACTAGTATAAAACCTGAAAGAGTTAATTTAAACTCGGAGGTAGGATAGACACTGTGAAATGATAGGAAACCACTCAAGAGTAAAGGGCAACTGGGATGTGGGAAAAGAGAAGGGAAAGAAGGAGAAATTTTGTATGTATGCATATACAGGATAGTTAACATGGTTGTTAACTGTCTTCTGTCTTCTATTTCTATGCTGAAAGAAACTGTCAATGAATCTTTGGTTGATCAGTATTGCATTTCTATATCTGTTTTCATGAGAAGCCACTTTGAAGGTATCAATATGTAATAAAACAACCATTGTCAATTCCCTACCACTTTGTTTGTAACTCCGTATTATCTGTACTGTTCTTTTGCTATGTTGTAAAATGTTGTCTGTCTGTTAATGTTTTCCTCCTTTTATTTTTAAAATAAAAAAAAAAAGAGTAGCCACTCTTTCTTAAAAAAACCTAAAAATATTTTATAATCCTTGAAGTTATGAAATGCTTTAAAAAGAGAAGCTATGTGTGTCTGCCAGGAAAAAAAAATATTCATGATAACATTTTGGTAAGACAATTAAACGAATCTTACTTTGCAGCAGTCTTGGTGACCTCATCAGTCAACATATCTCTAACCCTGCAATAAAGACAGAAAACAGGAATCTATGTTAGAGGAAGTACTTCACCTTTTCTTTTATTCATCAATTCGTAAGTTCCTCCAACAATGACTCTAGCTGTTAAAACTAAGTATGTAGAACTTTTATGCAAGAGGAAAAATTGTAAGTAGGTCTTTCCTTCAAAGAGAACTTCTTTCAATTCCCTACGTTGAGCCCTGGAGACAGGGAAGTGGGTGAACTTAACTCAAGTGGGAAGTACAGGCAGCATTGTGATGGCCTCTCAGACCAAGCGGAGGTTGGCTTCCCCTCTCTCTGCTCTTTGCCATATGAGGATACAGTGCATGAACAGGTATCTGCAACCAGGATGTGGGCCTCAACAGACACCAGATACGTTGGCTCCTTGCTCTTTGAGTCTCAGGCTCCAGAATAAGAATGAAATATTTTTCGTTTAAACTGCTCAGGCTACTGTCTTTCTCATATGGCATCTAAAATTGACTACGACATTCTCAAAATCTTTTTTGTACAAAGCTCATCAAAACATCAACTTACTATTTCTAACTTGTACATATGGAATATTATTGTCAAACTTTGGTTATACAATCTTACAAAAGCCAAAAGAAAATGATGACACTTGTGGGTTGAAAGGAAGATATGGCTTATTTAAAATAGTCACAGAATAATTTTTTTCCAATATAAGAGACTATAAATAAAATGAAAACCAATCACTGCCTACTAAATTTACATATTTTAAAGGATGATTTTAAAAATTCTCCACCCTCTTGTTACTCTTGCTATAGCACTGATCACTAGTTTTCTACCTGCTTTATTGATTCCCTCTTCATCTTGCCACTTCTAAATGCTGAACTGGCCCAGGGCTGAACTGTCTGAAACTTCTCCTTTATTACTCACTACCTAGGTAATCTGTTATGGCTTTTATCTAGATGCTCGCAGAGCTCAGTGCACTCATAGGTGGGGCATTTCAAAGGTGGCTGGATCTAGGGTGTGTGAACGTAGACTCAGTGTGTGATACTAGGATCAAGGGTATATAGTACTAAATTAGTCCACTGATTGGAATTAGCATATTTTCTGGGTGTGGATAATGGAAGGCCCACTTTGGGAGTCAGTGGCACCAATCAATAGGCTGATAGCCTGGATGGGATATAAAGGGAGAGAGGTAAGGCAACCTTGCTGCTGTTTGCTGCTTTGTTGTCTCCTCCTGTTTGCCATGGTCTATTTCTCCTCTGCAATGCCCCTCTGATACATCACCCTGCCGTGGAGCCAGCCAACTACACACTGAAGCCTCTGCAAACTCTGAGCTAAAATAAACCTTTCCTCCTTTTTTTTTTTGCCTTTTTTTTTTCCGGTACTGGGAATCAAACTCACAACCTTGCGCTTGCCAACACACTTGCTGCTGAGCTAAATCCTCAGCCCAAACCTTTCCTCCTGTAATTCTGAGTGCCCGACATTTTGTCTCAGCAATGAGAAAAGTAACTAATAATAATCTCATCCAGAATAATCACTTTAAATACCACTGAAATGCAGATGATTCCCGGACTTATATCTCTGGCCTGACCTCTTCCCAGAACGCTCTAGCCTCAGTGAACAACCTAGGTGATACTCTAATTGGAGGTATAAATGGCATCTTATCCCTAATGAGTTTGAAATCTGACTCCTCTCCTATTTGACTTGCTTTTCTATTGTATTCCCTACCTTAGTAAATGGAAACTTTATACTTTAAGTCAGAGTCAAAATCTTAAAGAGTTATACTTGACTTTCTCTCACATTCTTTGTTTAAATTATTAGCATATCAAACTTATGGAATCTGCCTTCAACATAGACTCAATTTACTTTCATTTCTACCTGTAAGACCTTAGTCCAAAACCTTGCCATTTTTGCCTGAATTGCTGCCATGAACACCTAATCGTATCTCCCGGGATACACTTTCACCATAGGAGCCAGAATGATCTTCTAAATTATGACTCACATCCTCTGTTCAGGTCCTCCAATGTTTCCCTATCTCCCCGTCAATGTCCTTTCTATACAAAGACCATCCACAATCTGATCTCCTGAACTTCTCTGCTTTCACATTCTTCTACTTCTTGCTTGTTCCTTTCATGCCACACTGGCTCTCCCAGATGGACTCCGAAGGCCTTTGGACTGGCTGTTCCCTCCTCCTGGGATGTTCTTCTGCAGCTATCAGCCTGGCCCATCCCACCACTCTTTTCAGACTCACTCCAAGACCATATTTATGAGAAGCTCTCTCTGAGCTCCCTATAGAAAATACAACACCAACTTCACCCCATCTCACCTCAGCCTCATTCACTCTGTACTCCCTTTGATAGATTTTATTTTTCTTTCACTAATCAAAACCAATCATATTTCCTTTGTATATTTGCTTATTATCCATTTCTACTCAATAGATTATAAGCTTTGGAATAAGAAAGACTTTGTTCACTGCTCTTCCTCTGTTCTCATAACAATGCATGGCATATCAGACACTTAATAAATACATTTTAAAATAATGAGATGTCTTTATTTGGTTTTGGAACTGTGTTCCAATTAGTGACACTGTTGAAGCAATCACTGCAAGCACAGTTCATCAGTTAATGCAAGTTTACTTGTAAATTTTCTATTCTACGTGAATGTTTAACCTTCTAGGGACCTAACTCCTTTACAGTCACACACACAAATAGCCCATGAGTTTCATCGTGACTTACACCCATGGTTCTCTCTATATATTTTGAAAAATGCAGTAAATATACTGTGTCCAACAAATTATCACTTTCAGAAAAGGAAATTAAAACTAGATGTAAAACACCAGATAAGAAGCAAAACCTAAATTCTTAATCTGTTAATTTTAAATCCAAGATTGAATGTTTTTAACTGTTTTTTAAAAATAAATCTAGAAAATGTGACTTAGACTATATTAATCACACAACGTACTTTTCTATAAGTCAAGCAGACCTATATAGATCTGTAGAATAAAGCAATCAGTGGCTGTACACAAAGCAATTTAAGGGCTGGGGATATAGCTCAGTGGCATAAGTGCCTGCCTGGAAAACGCAAGTTCCTGAGTTTAATCCCCGGTACCACAAAAAACAAAACAAAACAAAAACGAAGCAATTTAAGTTCCAGGAACCTTACTTAAATTAAGTGGCTGCAACATTAATCTGACGAAGTATTCTTCCCAATCTACATAACAATTTATGTTATTTTTATTTCTATTTTTAAAAATTTACTTTATTTTTCATTTTGTATTTTACTTATTTTGGTGCTTGGGATTGAACCAAGGGCCTTTGCAATGAGCTACATCCCCTATCCTTTTTACTTTTTATATTGAGACGGGGTCCAAAGTGCTGGGATTGCAGATGTGCACCACCATGCCCATTTTTTAATGTGCTAGCCCTAATACATTTCTAGATAACACAATGGCAATTCCCCAGGCACTGTCTAGCAAAGACATTTAACAGCCTACATAGCAAAGTTGCTCCTAGTAATGAGGAAGGGGAGTGTAGAAGAGAGGACTTCTTGGCTTATGTGGGGTAGGATAGCACTGAGTGGGAGAAACATTTTTCTTCGTTCAAGAGCATATAAATCATCAGTGACAAGGGACAAACAGAGGGAAAACAAACCATTTCCAAACTACATTAGGATAAAAATATATGGCTGTATACAATCACTCCTTACAACTATGGAGTTCTGCATCCATGGATTTAATCAATTGTAAATTAAAAATATTCAGGAAAAAACTGTACTGAACATGCAGACTTTTTTTTCTTGCCAGCATTCTTTAAACATAGTAACAACTATATACATAGTAATTACACTGTAGAAGGTATTATTAATAATCTACAGCTGATTGAGTGTATATAAGAGAATGTTCATGATTACATGTAAATACTACGCCCCTTTATATAAGGGACTTGAGCACCCATGGATTTTGGTATTAGAAATGGATCCTGTAACCACCTCATAAGCATATAACTTACAAATAAAGCCCTCCCTATTGAAAGGTCTGAATATACACCCACCAGATCTCCCATTGTCTTCCAATGTGGTTTCATATAGAAGGTGAACTGCCAATGCTAAGGCCTTGACAGTTATTGACATTTCCACCTCTGTACCCTCATAGCTCACTTCCCACAACAAATGATGAGCAACAGAATGGCAGCCCCTTACCAGAGCCAGGCTGCACCTTTTTTATACTGCACCTCCTCAGGTCCTTCTTTTCCATGTTTTAACTGCAGCTCCAGTTCTCCTATTCTTCCCTGCAAAAAATGAACATAAAGCAGCATGCAAATTCAATGGCTGAAATGATTTTAAAATTTCTTTGGGAAATACAGGTCCTTTCCCGGGGGCCCTCCATGTTCCTCATAAGATACTAGACTATGATAGAAGATGCACAAGGAGAAATAGTCACATCACTGCTCAGGTGCTTCTATATTCACTGGAGGTACATCCTAAAGAGAATGTATGTCTGGCAAGTGCAGCGCAGAGAACTTCATTTTGGTGTAGCTATTAAAGCAGATTTAAATTTCATAGGTCCCATTTTAAAAGCCCTCCACATGGTAATGATCTGCCTTTGTCAGCAACTGATAATGTTAGCTGACACTACACCAAGATCTAGGTCTGTAGAGAGTACTGTACGAGATAGCAAAAAATTAGTTGGATGACAATCTTGACACTTAAGATGCAGATAATATGCAACTAAAGTTATACATCAACAGCTCCACGTTATATTTCTATTTCTTTAGTGAACTTATGAAATTAGATACCACAGTTCTCAACTGCTACCATGTAATAAAAATATAAATAATATTGTTCCTGTAAGACCAAAGCCTTCACTTATTGATTATTCTTTTCATATTTTTACACTTGAGATTACTAGGATCAGATATTTGTTTACTCCATCAAAGGAATTAAAAAAAAGAATTAAGATGTGTTCTGTGCTTGCACCAACTCCCCATGAGAAATGAAAACATTATGCACAGCAAACATGTACAGTACTAACAAAAATTTTTAAATGAAATTAAAATATTAGTTTGCTGATGGACTCTAAATTGGACCAGAACTCACACTCAGCATTACTGAGCAATACCTGACCATCTTCAGAAGAGGTCAAATTGGGTTATATTGTCACAAGTAGTGAGTTCTGCTTACTTCACATCTTCACCAACATTCGGAATTGCGAGGCTTTTAATTTTTGCAATTCTAGTGGACTTGAAGTGGCACTCACAATGGTTTTGATTTTATTTCACTGTTTACCAAAGATATTAAGCATCTGTTCACGTGTTTATTAAGTATTTGGACTTCCTATTTTGTCCACTTTTCTAATGGTTGTTATTTTCTTATTGATTAGTTTTAAGGTCTGTTCTACAAAAGAAATGTATATATCTCTCCCTCTGCTTTAGGGAGAAAAGAAATACAGCTTGAAGGGTTAGGGATATAGGCTCTGGATTCAGACTATGTTGGTCTACTGCCATTTCCATTTACTTACTATAAATCTGGTCAAGTGACTCCTCACTAAGCTTCAGTTTCCTCATCTGTACCCTGTACCTAGTAGTTATCTCACAGTATCAGGGCATCATATTAAACACGGTGGGAAAAGGGGGAAAGCGTCTCCTTAGCACAATGACTGATAACAAATAATAGCTATCATCATTAGATTTGTTATCAGTAACTAAAAATCCCCACCTCCTTTCTTTATCTGCTTACTAACTCAGTTTTCATAAACATCTAAAGCCCATCTGAAATAAATCATGGTTTTAATCTGCATAATCTCATGACGTAGAAGTTGTATCCAGAATATAGTTAATGCCCTTGTGTTTCCCTCATGTATTTTCACTAAAGAGCCTGGGAGCTCACTGAGAGCAATGACTAATTTAGCATTTATACAGTCCCTGCATTTAGCATATCTTTCGGCACACCCCGCTTGAAACTCGCCAGGTCAGGCACTCTGATATTTGATGGACGCCTTAAGCACATCCTTCATAGTTTGTTTATTTCAATAATAACTATCCCCATCTCCACAGTTCATAAAATCCTGGTCCTTTTATTTTCTCCTCTATCTCTTGAAAGAATCAGAGATAACCAAATACAGATACTTATATTAATATAAATATTAACATATTAATATTAATATGTTAATATTTAATAATTATACTGGCCTCCAAAGAGGGCAGGCAAAGGGAAAAAATTAATTGCCTGTTTGTCAATTATGCTTCTTAAATTATGGTTATTTACTCCTGAAACATTTATTTTATACAATGATTTTCTAAGGAAGATAAGGGACAGAAAATTCAAAGGTTAAAATCTGTTTATAAGCAAACAAAATACAAGAAAGCTAGAGAATGTGTAGCTTCCTAAGAAGGCCTACTTTTCTAATTTCTTCTGTATTCAGAAACTAATACAGCGTTTGTACTGTGACTAAATTAATGTTGTATTTTCTCTTTCTCAGAGTTTGTTTCTTCCAATCCCATCCAGATCCACTTTGCTCTCCCACTGTTGCTCCACTGGTAACACAGAGATCCAGTGTCATTTTACTTGGTCATCTCTGCTTCTGCTTAAGGCGGTAAGACAGTGAGAGAAGAGAGAAGGCTGAAATGATCACCTGAATTGAGATCTTTGGATTGCATACAAATTCTAATTATTAATCCATTCATCTCTCTTAACTTTCATCTCTAGTCTATACAACCAAGAACTTGCTGACTACAGTGTGCTTTCACCAGTTCACTAGACTCTAAAAACAAAACGAGCTGGGAATATAGCTCAGCAGTAGACATGTGTGAAACTGTGGATTTAATCACCAGAACTAAATTAATAATAACCTTTTTAAAACTTTCAAATGGTCAGAGACGAATTATTTAGCGTTCTCAATTTCTGCCCTAGCTTTGATTTCAGGTTAGTTGGCAGCCAGCTAACCAACTCAAGAAACAAGTGCCTACAGTCTACCTGCTTTTGTATCTTTTGTGTTCCAGGTTATATTAACAATCTAAAGAGGTATTTTAGCAAAGCCTAGAAACTTTACTTTCTTTAGCATCCTAGAAGGGCAATAAGGTAAAGAAGAGAGCTCCTCATTAAGATGGCTTCTGAAGTGTTAATTAGCTCATATCTACATATTTTATCTTAATGAGAGAAATCCATATACCTCCCCCATGTGAAACACACTAATATTCCATAATTCCAAATCCCAAGTTTTTATGGAAAAATTAGATAAGGCTGAAAGCAGATGTTAGGGTTAGAAGCCTATTGTAGTGTTCAGGTATCAAACTTATTCATGCTAATCAGCCTCAAGAAAGTAACACAGAATGTACCTTTTAGCATGTCTCCTAGCATTAACTGCACAAAACACAGCTCCTCTAAATGATACTCTATTTTAATGCCACAAAATACGCCCAGCATCAGATGGAAGTAAGTATAAGTCCTATGCAGCAGAAATATTCTCCAGAAATTCTTGATATAGACAATGAATCTGACAGTTGCTCCAATTCTAAGAAAGCATGAAATCTAAGTAGGTGCACCCATTTAAAAAAAACATTTAGCAGTTAAAACTCATCAATATCTTCTCAAGTAATAGTGATAACTTAAAGTACATTTCTATGTCTTGAAATAATACCAACAACCTAAAACACCCTACTATATTTTAAAATGATACCAAAGACTGTCTTGGTATAGTCTGTTCTTTCACCTTTACTCTGTTCAGAACCGCCACAATTCCCAGTGCAAATGGACTGAGAAATCCAAAGAGATCCTCAGTAATAGAGAGATGCACTATCATCCATAGCAGTAGAAAGGTAGAACAACAGACCTGCACTACTAGAAATAAACAGCAGACTTTCCATAAACAGATCAGTCTTTTAACATAGTAAACTAACTTGCATAACTTACCACCAGGAATAATGACGGTCTTAGGGAAAACTATGACCCAGTGGGAAAAGCTGAGGCTCTGGAGTCAGACAAATCTGGGTTAAATTACAGTTCTTTCGTCTACTAACTACTGAATTTTGAGTCATTTGCTCTACTTTCCTAGCTAACCTGCTTTTCCATCTATAATCCCATTGTATATGGAGTTGATAACACACATTGAATAGGTCTCTATGAACATTAATTGGAATATTACATGTTAAGAGTTGGACACACATTAGTTATTTAATAAATGATAACTCTTATGCAAAAACTCATGTATTTAAAAATCAATTCCAAGACATATGCAAGTATTATACCATATTCTATGCAATTTAGCCTTTCTTATTCTAAGATCTAAATAAAACTCTTAGAGAGTTCTGCAGGAAAAGGTATTCTTCCCTTCTTCAGGCAGTTTGCTGCTTCTTCTACTAAAGCACTGAAGATACTGTACTTAAACTGCTAGTAGATGTCAGCCTCCTTTTACTGGCCTAGGTGCTCAATGGACTCTTTATTTTCCTTTGTATCGCACACACTCAGTACAGGGCTTGGCCTGGAAAAAATGCTCCACAGATGTCTCGTGAAGGAAACAATGGAAAGTACCTAGGAAAATGTGAATTCAAGGAGTATGTATTCTAACTTGTACTCTCATTTTCTCGAGTAAAAACTGTATTGGCTAAGGCTGTGTATTAATAATGTTGAAGAAACACATAGAATCATGAGTAATTCACTCATTCACTCATTATCTATTCAAAACATACTCAGTGCCTGGAAATTGATAAAGATCAAAAATCGAGAAGTTGAGTAGGGTAACAATGAGCAAGTGGAAACAGGGGTTGCAAAAATCAACTCTGAAATTTAGATTACAGTGCAGTTAGGGGCCCATCTAAAACAATGTTGCTCAAAGTGTGGTACAGACTAAATGCATTAAAATCTCCTGAAAGCTTGTTAAACCCATAGACTCCTGGATCACTAATCATTTTTAATGAGTCAGAATCTCTGAAGATACAGTGTTTCAGTGTTTCATAAAGTCTAGGCTCAATAAACTCCTTTACAGCAAGGTTTTAATTTGAGATGAGAATACCAAGGCCCATCAGTCATCCTTCCTACCCCATTCTTACTTCCCCATCCTGTTTTATAGGGAAGCTGTTATCTTTAATGATAATACCGTAATTCCTGAGACTCCATGAAAATTGTATTCTGGGACATAAATTACTTCAGTAGCATCAGATAGTTTCCTAGCATCCTGAACAGTGAACTTTAAATTAGAGAAAAGAATTGAGCTAGTTGTTCTATTATTAACTGTTCATGGAGTCCCCAATTAACTAAAAGTTATTTCTAATTTTCAAAATTCACAAAATGTAATTTATAATATTGTATTAGTGAAGTCAAATTAAGTATACCTATTTATTTAGTAAGCAATTATTATGCTTTAGACACTTGTGTTGGGTGCGAGAGACAACAAAGAAGGAAAAACTGCTGTCCGTGAAGAGCACTGAGACGGCCAGAGGTCCCAGACAACCAAGGCGACAAAGACATCAAGAAGGAATGCAGAGCTACTGAGGTAGTGCACAGAGGGCACCTAATCCATTGCAGAGAGGAAGGAGGCACATAGGTGCCTTCCCAGGCAAACTAATCTGAAGAACAAGCAGAAATTATGTGGACAAACAGCAGAGCCTAAAATAAAAATTACACTGTACATCAAAGCCAGGCAGTTAGGGAGACACGCTGAGTATGGGAAAACAAAGAGAGCAACATAGAAATGTAAGTATTGGGGAAGAGGGTTAAAAGATAGGGCTGGCGATGTGGGCTGGTCTAGCCTGAGCAACCTCAGGATAAAGGAAGACAACGAGTTCAGTCTGGGAGGCACTGAAATCAAACTGCTGTAGGACAGACAAGTAGGGACATTCAGAAGGCAACAGGACAGAAAAGGTAGAACTCAGGAAGGAGTTCTGGATGAGAGAAGCAAATTTGGGGGCAGGGAACCATTAACATGTAAAGTTTAAGTGGTTAACTCTCACATTCTTTTATTTTTATTTATTTCTTTATTTTTAATATTTTGAGGGGGTTTTTTGAGACAAGGTCTTGCTCTGTAGTCCAGGCTGGCTTTGAACTCACTATGTAGCCTAAGTTGGCCTTGAACTCACAGCAATCCTCCTGCTTCAGCCGCCTGAGCGCTGGGATTACAGGTATGCACCACCACACCCAGCTGACATTCCTTTATGAGCAAATAAACAAACAAAAAATGCATTTTTGACAGTGCTATAACATTAAATGCATGTTTGCAGTAAAATCTGAGATAGGGAGGAAACACTCCCCACACAAAGCAAATCATCCTTACCTGTAAAACAGCATGATAAGCCCTATCCATGTAGGCAAGCCAGGCCTGTGGGAGAAAAAGTGCACGGTGCCACTCCGAAGGCTGGGTGTGAACCTGCGGGAAAAGCATACCTGCACGTTAGACTCCAGAGTATTAAAACAGAGTAACACTAAACTCTGTCATCAATTCCTTCTTTCCTTCTACATAGTGGTTTAAATTCTAAAACAATCCAAATCAGTCAAGAATGAAAACCACAAACATTATCTTTTGTATATTTCCAGAAAGAAAGAATTTGGAGTTGTGTAAAGACAAACTAGAGTAAGCCTGGAATTTTCTAAATTAAAGCAAATACAATACTACAATAACAAGTTAAGATGTTATGTGTAATACAAACCCATCCTTGAAAATTAATGGGAGACTGTAAAACTCTTACCAAAATCAGGATACAGGGTATTTTCTAACAAATCCTCCTAGTAATTTTGAATAAAAATAAATATTGCTCATATCCTAGATTTCAAATATGACAATTTCTGAAGTAGTAAACTTAAATTGCTAACAGAAGTACCATGTTGTGTAAAAACCACAGTGGTAAAGGCATGCAAATGAGTAGAGCACACAGCAATTGTGTGCACCACTAAATAAATGCCCTTTAATCAGTGTGGGTAAACAAGGGAAAAATGATATATGCCAACACTAAAATCCTACTTCTGAACAGAGACCCAGACAAAACATCTGGTTTTCATAGTCATTTCTGTTTCTACCTATTAGTACACAGCTATCTCTCAACAAATCTTCCCAAGGTCTACTTCTGTTAAGGAAAGATTACTCAAGAATAACATGCACAGAGCATCACATTTCAGGCTTCCTATAACTTTTCTCATCCAAAATGCAAACAACTAAAACTTTATCCTGCATCCTATAGCCCTCAACTTCCTGGAAAGAGAGAAACTTATACATAATTACACCAGAATCATGATAACTAGTACATTCTACTGCATTATAAAAATTAATTTTCTCAAGTGCCTTGTGATAGGGAAGACAACAGGCTCTCTGATAAACACAGTTGGTTCCCATGGCCTCTGAATGTTCTTTAATCTCAGTCTTAGTGAGAGCTACTATGAAAGGTACTGTGGAAGGATGTAAGGGTTACCAACCATCCCATGTGTGCAGACAGCTTTCCAGCTAGCAGGAGAGGCAAATATAGCCACAGATACATTACAAGGCAAAATTTTGAATGGAGATGAAGAAAACAAGACTAGTTTTGACTGCCATTAATCACTGCTCATGCAACTGCTATGTTTTTAATTAGACACAAACAATATGAAATGGATAGACTATGAATTGAACTTTTAAAAATTATAAAGACTGGTCTTTCTTCTTGTTTCCTAATTAAGTATTCACTCTGCTAAGCAGGGTAGTGGAAGCCTTCTCACTCTGTCCACAAAACTCTCTAAAGAATGAGCCCTCCAAGCCCTGCTTTTTCTCTTGCTACCCAGGAAGCAAATGATGCAACCCAGGCCACTTGTGGAACTGGGGAGGTATCTGTCAATCCTTGGCCCTGCTCTGTTTCCTAAACTGGGCAATCCTTTATCCTATCAATTCTATACCCTTTTAATAAAAATGTTAACTATTATTAAACCCTATTTTAGGACCTGGATTTTTACAGAAACAGCACTTAAATATCACACACAAAACTTTTACTTTAGAATCTGCAAATATTTTAAAATCTTCCTACCAAATAAACCATAGGAATCACCGCATTACCGAGAATGTCCATCTCAGTAAACTGGGAAAAAAGAACATCGAATGTTTGCGGAAAACAATGGTCTCAATTGCTTTTTAAAGTTCAATTTAAAAAAGGAAAAGGATTATAGAAAAATGTAAATAAGCAAATCATATGTTCAGCTTCTGAAAAAAGATACTCATGCCAATAAACCTGTTTTAAAGGAGGTCACAAGTTGAAGGGTAAGGCTAATCCTCCTCCTGCTGCTCTGGCCAACAGGAATCTGCAGGGCGCAGGATACTCCAGCCTAGAAGCAGCCTGAAGTCCCCATGTTCTAAGGGATTAGCTCCAATCGTAGGGTTCCTTGGAGTTAGCTGTGAATAAATCTCTTTAAAAATGTACTCCCTCGCTCTTTCCATTAATGAGGAGAAATTTAGGGAAGACAGGTAGCAGAGAGTGATGCTTGTATGTCCTGGCTGCCTCTCAGGCAAAGGGCCTTCTTTGTCCATTTTTAAGCTATTAACTCATTATACAGTCACACATATTGCCTGTATTGTAGGGTAATGTTGCTCAACTGAAAGATAAATTCAATTAGCATTTATAAAGTATGAAAAATTATTCCTAATTTGCTGTATTTGTGAGATGCCTTTGAAGGAAACCCAATCAGTGAAGTAATTTAGAATCATGAAGTTACAACCTAATTATTTGGCAGATGATACAGCAGGTCTGTAACCACTATGTCATCAAGTTTTAATAAATGTTTGAAATTTATTTTTCTTTACACATACTCTTAAAGTGATAATTGTATGATACAATACTGAAATGATCAGGTCTTATGTCTTAGGGAAGGGCAGAGTAGGACAGAGTGTGTACAATGAAACTACATGTTGCCTAAAAGAGAGGGCACCTGAGGAAAATATGCAAAGGAAACAAAGCTGCCAATAAAATATGCATTGGGATGGAGGCAAATTACAAGGTCAATTAAACCAAGTAATCAAGGCAGATCTCATTGAGAACACGAAGTGTGAGCAAAAACTTGAAGGTGGTAAAGGATATATGTGCTAGTGGGGTAATAAAATGGTTCAGCTGTTATGGAGAAGTTTGGAGGTTCTTCAAAATGTTAACAATAGAAGTACTGTATGTCCAGCAACTCCACTTCTAGGTAGAATTCAAAACAAGTGAAAACAGGTATTAAAACAAAATGTTTATACAAATGTTCACAGTAGCACACTCACAATAATCAAAAGAGAGAAACAACCTAAATGTCCATTAATGGGCAAATGAGAGACAAAATATGACATATGCATACAAAAAATACTATTCAGTCATGGCAAGAATAAAGTACTGATACATGCTGTGAAGCTGTATTGTAGATGAACCTTGAAAACATGCCAAAATGAAAGAAGGCAAAAGATCAAATATTGTATTCTTCATATATGAAATATCCAGAAAAGGCAAATCCATCAAGACAGAAAGCAGGTTAGTGGTTGCTAGAGGCAGAGCAGAGGTAAAAGAGGCAAAGGGAAGGGGGTGGGGATCAGAAGTGACTACTCACTGGGTATTTGGAGCTGATAAAAGTGTTCTGAAACTGGACAGAGGTGACAGCTGCACATCACTGGGAATGTACTACAGTGCCAGTGAATTGAGCATTTTGAATTTTAACACAGATAATTGTACACTACGTGAATGCCACCTAAATTTTAAAAAATGAACAAACCTAAGGTACAGCAAGGCCATCAGGCAGGCACATCACTGACCCGTGTAAGGAACGTAAGAAGGCTGCATAAACAGAGCAGACAGCGAGCACAGAAGACAGGAGAAAGGGAAAGGGCTTAACAGAGGACCCAAGAGTTCAGCCTTCTAGGTCACTCAGGACTTGATTTTGATCTACTAAAGGGAGAGCTATTTAAGGTTTTGAGAAGAATGACACAATCTAATTTACATTGTAAAAGACCCCCATGACTTCTGTGTTAAGAATAAGAAAAATAAATGTCAGAGATGGAAAACCTACTCTAGGATACTGCAAAAATCCAAGTAAGAGATAAAGGCAACTCAGACAGAGTAATACCAGTCACACTGTACAATACTGGATTTTGAAAATTCAGCTTTGCAGTATCCATCCAACTCTAGATGTTACGATGATAACACATAAGACAGAAAACCAAGAAGAGAATTTGTTTAGATAAAGTGAGGATGAAAGCTGAGGCTTAGAGTCCAGCTCTCTTAGTTATCAGAGCCACTCTGTGGTGGTCCCTAGTACACTTTCAAACATAACTTCAATTAGAGGGGCAGAAAAGGAGCGGTGCTTGTCAGAAGATAGGGCTAGAGAGAGTGTCTGACTATATAGAACCGTGTATGGACTTTGCAGGGTGCTAGAACTATCTCTACTTACTGAAGTAACTTCTCTATACTGCCAGGACACCATTAACTCTCCTGTAGCACCCTATAGATTCCATTTTAGACTATCTGCATAAGGACCGTTACCTCACACAAGCCTAGGGGGCAGAAACCATGCCTTGTTCAACCTGGAATCCCTCCCAAGGTACTCATAACAGTACCTCACACCTAAGAATTTAATTAAGCACCTACTGAGATTAACAGAATCAATTATACAGCATTTTTTAATAAAGAAAAAATTCTTGTCATATTAAGACCATAACACTATAAAAGAATAATTGCAGAAAACTCTGGTAGTCAACTTTTTAATCACTCTAGAAACATAATGTTAAAGAACTTGTTTGAGTTGACACAGCTAAATACAAACACAGGTTGTTGAGCATACAATAATTTGAAATTTTATGAAAACACGTCTATTCTAGCCAGAAAATGTTTAATTTTGATAAAAAATATAGTAACAATGCAAAATTTTAAGGGCGGTATTATAAACTTTGTTTTGAAATCCCCCAAACGTTTTTATTTGTGTCATATAGGTTCTAATTACGTACACCTAAACTACTAGGTTAACAGAAAATATCTTAGAACCACACTTCACAAACACTGGGGAACACTGAGAAAAGACGGGAGCAGTCATGCTTCTCATTGACACACGTTTTAGCCAAGAGGATTACACACAGACCTAATTTTTAGTTAACTTACTATTCAGAATATACTGCCCAGCAATTTGAGTGTATTCTTCTCTTAAATGATCTTAAGAAATTTAACTGTAACATTTACAAGGAAATAAACATAGTAATAGGCTTTCATTAAATACTATAAATCAAGTAAGACAAGCTTTGGGTGACTTTCTTTGTTGAACCAGAATGGCACAAGTGGAGAAGCGTGTAAAGTTGACAGGAACAAGTGTGTCCTATTAATTTTAGAATCCCAACCCTAGAAAACAAGGCAATGTTCATGCTTGTCAGATGTACATATCATTAAAAGGACAAATGTA